TATGGCTCAAGTCTGGCACCTACTTCGGCGCTCCTCTGGCGGACCAGAGAAACGCCAAACCTTGGCACGTCCCAAATACCGAAATTAGGCGTTGCTCTGGCAGCTATGGCTGAAGTATGGCACCAACTTTGGCGGTCCTCGGGCGGACCCGAGAAAAGCCAAACTTTGGCACGTCCCAAATACCGAAATTAGGCGTTACTCTGGCAGCTATGGCTGAATTATGGCACCAACTTTGGCGCTCCTCTGGCGGACCAGAGAAACGCCAAACCTTGGCACGTCCCAAATACCGAAATTAGGCGTTACTCTGGCAGTTATGGCTCAAGTCTGGCACCAACTTTGGCGCTCCTCTGGCGGACCCGAGAAAAGCCAAACTTTGGCACGTCCCAAATACCGAAATTAGGCGTTACTCTGGCAGCTATGGCTGAAGTATGGCACCAACTTTGGCGCTCCTCTGGCGGACCAGAGAAACGCCAAACCTTGGCACGTCCCAAATACCGAAATTAGGCGTTACTCTGGCAGTTATGGCTCAAGTCTGGCACCAACTTTGGCGCTCCTCTGGCGGACCCGAGAAAAGCCAAACTTTGGCACGTCCCAAATACCGAAATTAGGCGTTACTCTGGCAGCTATGGCTGAAGTATGGCACCAACTTTGGCGCTCCTCTGGCGGACCAGAGAAACGCCAAACCTTGGCACGTCCCAAATACCGAAATTAGGCGTTACTCTGGCAGTTATGGCTCAAGTCTGGCACCAACTTTGGCGCTCCTCTGGCGGACCCGAGAAAAGCCAAACTTTGGCACGTCCCAAATACCGAAATTAGGCGTTACTCTGGCAGCTATGGCTGAAGTATGGCACCAACTTTGGCGCTCCTCTGGCGGACCAGAGAAACGCCAAACCTTGGCACGTCCCAAATACCGAAATTAGGCGTTACTCTGGCAGTTATGGCTCAAGTCTGGCACCAACTTTGGCGCTCCTCTGGCGGACCCGAGAAAAGCCAAACTTTGGCACGTCCCAAATACCGAAATTAGGCGTTACTCTGGCAGCTATGGCTGAAGTATGGCACCAACTTTGGCGCTCCTCTGGCGGACCAGAGAAACGCCAAACCTTGGCACTCCCCAAATACCAAAATTAGGCGTTGCTCTGGCAGTTATGGCTGAAGTATGGCACCAACTTTGGCGCTCCTCTGGCGGACCAGAGAAACGTCAAACCTTGGCATGCCCCGCATTCCCAGATTAGGATTTACTATGGCAGTTATTTCCAATCAAACAAAAAGAAAAGCACAGCAACGCGGATGCCTCGTCACGGAAGCCGGCGGTTGCGCTCAAGGTCAAAGCGGACGCGCTTCAGAAATAAAACACAAAGAAAAGCTCATGGCAAGAATATGCTTCGTCACGGAAGCCGTCGTGAAGCCGGCAGGGTTCACCGCGCCTGCGCAGTGGGGGGAACGTGATGTCACCGCCGGAGCGCCGTGTGCGGTACGAGGACGTGGCGCGCTGCTCGTAGGAATGCACTGCGTGTAGGAATGCTTTCGGACTCCTACACGTGAGCAGTAGTAAGTGACTCCGCCTAATTTTGATCATAGTTTTAAGCAAGATTATAAACCTAGTTCAAACGTGGTTAGCCTCATATTGGCCTGATAAGGCACTTATTTATTTATACAAACCGCGTGTTTTTTTTGTTTTTTTTTATTTTTCCGCAAAAAAAAATTTTCTTTTTTTATATTATTAGACGCTATATATAAGCAAGGGTAGCCCTGCTCTAGGGCCCGCTCGGTGCTTAGCTTGATAAGCATCTTTTCTCGGCTCTCATATGGTGGGGAGATGATTGACGTTTGAAATGTTCGTTGCAAAAATGTTTCTCTGTGCCGTAATAGTATTTTTATCGACGGGGGTTACCCTCACTAGGGTCACGAGGGTTACCCTCAAAGGGATTACGAGGGTTACTTTCACAAGGGTTACCCCCATGAGCGTTACCCTCGTGACGGCACACGTGAGGTCACGTGTGACGTCATTATGGAAACACGTGACGTATGACGTCAACTGACGTTACACGCATCTAACCTTGGCGGGGAAATTTTTCCGCTAAATTCGGCGGAAAACTATTCCCACTAATCTTACCCTCGTGACATCACGTGTGACGACACGTGTGACGTCATGGGGGTAAAATTGTATCTCTAAATTTAGCGGAAAACTTTCCTTGCTAAGTTTAGCGGGGAAGGAAAGGGGACGTACTTTCCCTCCTTACCCTCACCCCCTCCTCCTCAAGAGCTGCGCTCTAATTCAGCGTTACGGAAATTTGTAAACGTCTTCAATTTTTTTCCACAATACATACTGGAATTTTTATGTTACTGATTGTAAAAACACCTTTAGCGTCACTTGAAAAAGAAGAATATAAGCTTGGGGCGATCAAGCGACCGCGCTAACTATGCCATAAAACATTTAGTAAACTCCGAATTGTCGGGTATTATATAATACGAGCTTGAGTTTGAACTGCTTATGAATCTGACGTTTCTTGGGTTGAAGAAACGAATACACTGTATTTTTCTTTTTGTTTCTTTTGTCCTAGTTAAAAACGGCACCCCGAATATAGAAATTGCAAAACTTAGTAGAATATCAAGAAAATAAAAACAAAAAAGCTCGTGGTCATGTCTTTAGCAGTAACTCCCTTTAAACTGAAATAAAACTGCATATCAGTAAAGCTGTTTGGTAGTGTGTACTCTTGTCTCAATGTTGCTGCAGTAAATAAAAATGATGAACAAAGTTTTCAAAGAACATTTCTTGACACAGGTTCGCTTTACTGAACGCAAAAGTAATGGTTGAAACACCGGTCGTATTTAGTGAGTGGAGAGGCGGATGCTTCGACAAACCTTTGGCTCTAAAACCAACTGATCGAAGCAGCCATTGTCCTTTCTGAATGATTGTTGCCATCTTTAAATATAGATTCGATATATTGCTAATGTGCCACGCTTACAATCAACCGCACAGTTGTTCACATATTATGGTATAATAAGCGTAAAAGATATTTATGAATTTCGTTGTTTGCATTCTTTATCTTGTCAAATGAAAGTTTCAAATCATTTTTAAAAATGACATCTGACCTATCGAGACAAATAAGTGAAGCTCACACCCGCAGTTGTGGCAGGTGGTTAGTGCTGCGGCGGCGCACTGAATGTTTCTCGCAGTCGCTGACATATAACTTACATTTTATTTTAAACAAGTATCTAGCACAAAATATTAACTTTGATAGATTTACTAGTAAAAATTGCGAGAATTTTTCGCAGACAATAGACTATAGTGCATTAATCTCTATCTTGCATATGGCAAAGTCTTGGTGTTCAAGCTTTTATTGTAATTTTTGCTACAAAACTAGTCATCTGGAAAAATTTTATCTGTCATTTATAATTTTATCAACCGTTGGTAATTTTTTTATATAGTGCTTGACATGTGGCATATAGAATTGTATACATTCATTAGGTGTTTACGTGTACTCATATTGTTACGCGTCATATTTGCTGGACTTTTTTTCGCGAAATGTTGCTGTCTGTATGGGCCCTCAGGCACTCTCAATCTGTCAGCGACAGCTTTTTCGCCCGGGGACCCCCAACACTGTGTGGGAAAATAAAATTGAATTCAATTGAATATAGATAGGGTTCCACGTTTTCGGTTTCTATTTTTTCGAAATTCGGCGTACTTTTTTCGGTGTTTATTTTAAAATTCAATTTTAGGTGTTTTTCGGCATATATTAATGCACACAAGTTTATCGGCTTTTTTCGGTGAATATAAAATAAACACCAACGGACACCGGATCAGATGATCGTTGTAGCGTTGATATTTGTGATGATTCAAAGACTAACGGCACAAATGCATTGAAAAAAAAAATGGACACTTTATTTGGCAAATGTGTGCAACTGTAAAAGAAACGAGAAAAAAAAAACACCGAAGTACAAACAAGTCAGATATAAAGCCTATGCCCAAAAACATGGAACTTAACCTTCTGTACATGAGGATTACGTGATCTTATAGTACACACACATGTACTTTCCCAGGTTCTCCTCGTTGATCCGCACTCTTTCTTTCCTGCTAATATGACCCTGAGCTTCGAGAATGCCCCCTCAGCGCTAACACTGGACACTGGCAGGCAGAGACGATGAAGCGCTACCAGAGGCAAAGTCGGCCAATCAACCAGATGCGAGATCCAAAATAGACACGGTGCGACGTTTTGAAGCACAAGACTACATGCAGAGCTTACGTCAAATCAGCCCTCTTTACAACGAGTTCGAAATCACGCTCGCACATGGCGAAGTCATGGGACATTTCGGATTTCACGTTCCGATCGATGATGCACACATTAAACTAAAACGTCGTGATGGTATCCGTGTATCCCATACATTCGGACACGCTTTGATAGACACTGTCGTTCCACTTTTGCGCCACGGCTCTGCGGTACGACTGGAAGGTCAAGTGACCTTTTCCGGTTAAAACTAAATTTAAAAAAATGTATTCGACGTACTTTTATCGGTTTTTATCGATTTCAATCGAAGATATTGAACCTAAAAACTCACCTTTTTTTGGTTAAAACCGATTTTTCGAAAATGAATTCGAAGTACTTTTATCGGTTTTTATCGGTTTAAACCGAAAAATCCCAATCCTAAATACATATAACTCACGCGTTCCTTGGGTTACTAAATCCTTTTCTGCACTTGGCGTCAGACTTTTGCCAAGTGCTGAAAAGTTGCAAATATATATATATATATATATATATATATATATATATTCAAAACCCAAAGAAACTTCTCGCTTACATTAGAGTCAAGGTCAGTAGACAAGGCGAAGCGTAGATACAACGATGTCACTGCTCCCAAGGCGCGGCTCGCTATCGAAAGTATTCTCAAGTTTAAGGCGTTTTCTTCTAAAATATTCAGTATCACACCACCGAGAAATGTGAGCCAGCTTCTCGACAATCTCCGAGGAAAAGCTTGACTGGGCAGATGCAAAGCGGTGTGCTCGGTTTTCGTGACCCTGTGATAACTCGGCGATGGTGTGGAAATATTTGTCTAATAAACTGACTCGAACGAGGGTTTCGTTTTCAGTTGAGTCTGTCCAGTCGTACCCTGCAGTCGTGTTGGAAGGCTAGACATTTTAAGAGACTGTCTGAGTAGTGATCCAAGAAAGATAAGGAACGAAGAGCTCGACGCAAGGTGAGGATCATACGACCAGTTCAAAATTCACGAAATAATTTCAGCAGTTTTTGGTTCATTCTAACAGTGGTGGAATACTAAGCTTAACTAGCCTCTGGTTTTCATTGTGAGGGTGCGGGTTAATAATGTCATAACCGCGCAAGGGAACTTGCCACTCCCGCGTGACGAACTCGTCTACCATAGGCGGCGCGAAAGTGCACTGCATAGAAGGGAAAGAGAAGCGCTGTGCGCCATGTTGTAAATAGACCCGTAGTGGGTTCCGGGCAAGCTTTAAATACTGCACTCAAAGGTAATAAACTCCAAGACCCTAACACCATATTTTCTTAAAACGTGATAATAACTTAAGTACTGTCGTCGGTATAATAGCGGAGCTTCGTAAAACGCTAGAGTAATTGGGTTGAACGAGTTCTACAAGTGAAAGGTTAGAATTATAAAAAAAATAGAAATTTCTGCGCATTATAGATCATCATATGGAAATAAAAGCGAAATGCTAACGTTTATAACGTCGCACAATGGAACTGCTTTGTCATTTACACTAAAATCCACGGACCGCCCAAACCACAGCCAGTTGGCATCTGCAGTTCACACGGACTCAAAAATACAAGGGTATCACCGCACACCCTTTTGTCCCATATAATACACCCCAAAGCTTCATTTCGACGTACAGCGTCCTATGTCGAAAAGACGGCCCCAAATTTTCCGAGGGGCTTGATAAAGGTGCGATATAACTTACTAAACAGCTAAAGTAGGTATCAAAGACTACGTTAAGAAAACTCTGAGTTTTTGCAGTAGGGCCAAGAATACCCCGATTTTTTTTTTTTTTTTGTAGTCAGTAACACGTACATTCGCTATTTTAATAAGTTGTACCACACGGCTATGAAGCCCCTCGTAAAATTTGGGGCCGTCTTTTCGAATACAGGGCGGTTTATGTCGAATTGAAATTCCGGGGTGTACAAAGGGTGTAACAATACACACTTTTTACACCCTCTTTAAAGTGCATGTAGAATTAAATTCAGGCAAGAACACAGAAACAAGGTCTGATTATACTTCGGGATTTCAAGTACAGACGTCATGATTTTAATATTTAGCGGATAGCTTTGGAGCATTGGATCATTAAGTTATATTTGTTTCTTTCTATTTCCAGACAGATATCAAGATGAAGACACTCGTTGTGTTCATGTGCTTAATGGTCGCCGGCTGGGCTCGGTACGAAAATGAGATGAGGCTTGCTAACAACCGATTCGCGGTTGATCTTATTAAAAGCCTCCCAAGTTCTCCAGAGAAGAACATCTTCTTCTCGCCTTACAGCATTTCAACAGCGATGGGAATGGTTTTCGCAGGAGCTAGGGGTAAAACCCTAAAAAATTTGTATGACGGATTTGGTTATCTACGCTCTGGTCTTAAAGAGGACTGGGTATTGCAAGCATACGCGGACCATGCTAAACAACTCCAGGTTGGGCAATCGCAGTCGACCTTCGACGTTGCCAACGCCGCTGCCATTCACGAACGTATGTCCCTTTTGAATGCTTTCGAGAGCACCCTGGATAGCACTTTCCATGCCCAACTACTGAAGGTAGACTTCGTCAACGGAGGGCCGGCAGCAGTCGACGAGATCAACAGGTGGGTCAAGCAAAAAACTCATGACAAGATCGACGAACTATTCGATGATCCCCTCGACCCGGACACAAGGCTCGTTTTGCTAAACGCCATCTTTTTCAAGGGAGTGTGGAGCACAAAGTTCGACGAGAGCGCAACCACTGAGAAGCAGTTCCTTAACGGTGGCACGACTCCAACACAAGTTGACACCATGACAAAGAGCATCCACATTGGCTACAAGTCGTTTCCGACAATACGGTTGGAGGTCGCAGAATTACCTTACGCTGGCGGCAACTACAGTATGGTTATATTATTGCCAAGGGGGAACGAAGGAATAGAAGGATTCAAGCACAATCTGACGGAAAACCATCTGCAAGATATAATCGGTCACGTGGAGCCCCGTAAAGTCACCGTGTCTCTTCCCAAGTAAGTAGTCCACGAAAAGAATGAGGTTAGAGGACGTTAAGAGCTTCAAATATACCTTCTGCTTTCAAAACTTGAGGTAGGATGCAATATAAGAATTTCATGCGCGTTTGTTTTTTAAGAAAAAAATTAGCTTATTTAGTCCGTTAACATAAATTCAGGTTAGAGAAAAGCATGCTTTCTCAGCGTTATCCTTCATGCGATTAGAAGACCAATACACCTGTACCGTTTTTTATCTGGATGAGAATACCTACGGTGAGGAGTTTTGGAAGCACCACTGTATATCGCTGTGCGAAAACGCCAGTCTAGGGGTCTTACTGCATAGGCTACCATTAACAACGGATACAAGAGATCCACCCTAAGTCAGGCCAAATTCCGGCCTGACTTAGGGTGTGTCCTCGTCTTTGTTGCGCACAAGATTGTATAAGATGTCAAACCAACTCGCCCGAACAACCACTTTTCCGAAATTCCGTTTTTTTTTTGTTTTTTTTTAATCCTCCACGCCACTAGTATGATTCCGTGAAAATTCAGAGTACTATATACTAAATGATTCTTGTCACTCCTTTCAAACTCTGACAAGATTCATGTCCCAGACTTGTTGAAACCTTGAAGCTCTCGCAGAGTTTTTTTCCAGAGCTCGCTTCACATTAAGTCCTGCTAGACTCCAGGCTTATTATTTTCCTGCAGATTCAAACTGGAGGCTGAGTATTCACTCAAAGACAACCTGAAGAACTTGGGCATCACCGAGATGTTCAGCGCTCAGGCTGACCTGTCTGGTATCACGAGCGATGCAGACCTCACGGTGTCGGACGTGGTGCACAAAGCGGTCGTGGAAGTCAACGAAGAAGGCACGGAGGCTGCTGCTGCTTCGGGAGTCGTTGCTGTCAACAGGCTGATTGGGGTGCCTAGTCTGGAGTTTAACGTCAACCAGCCTTTCCTCTTCTTCATTCGGAACACCCAGACTCAAGATTTGCTCTTCGCGGGACAAGTCAACCATCTCTGAAGATCTCAGATGTTTCCACAATGAAAGAACGCTAGGAGCACGGTATTTTTTTAACAATAGAATTAAAATGTTTTGAATGCAACTTGTCACAAAAAAAAAAATCCAAAAAGAATTGGTTTTTCGACGGCATGATTTTTGGAACCGAGTCGAGGAAAGATATCCATGCATTGTAAATACTAGAATGGCTTGAGACAAGAAATGCAGCAAGGGGTGGGAGCGGGGGGCTTTCAGGATTTTGTCCCCCGGATCGTTTTCTATGTCACAAAACAGGCACATACCTAGGGGGGGGGGGGGGGGGCATGCCCCCTCCCCCCCCCCCTCCTTCGCCCCGATATCTTCCATTTTGCTGGGGCCTCCTCTCCTCCTCCCCCTCATACCGCATTTTGTTATAGCCCCTCCCCCTCCCCTTACCCGAATCGAAATTCTGGCTACGTGCCTCCACTGAAGCCAGGAAGATTCCAGAAATTGCCTCCCCCCCCCCCGGAAAAAAAATATTTTTTCTACGTCACTGGCTGAGCTTGATTATTTTGTTGAACAGCGCAGCACTCATAAAGTGAACAAATCTGATAAAGTGCTTGAGCACCAATATTAAATATAGGGAACCGAGTTCAATATGGGAGAAACTCCATTGTACCCAAATTTTCTAAATATTTGTATGGCAACTCATTCATGGGATGAACTCCACCACGTTACCCACATTCATAGTTTGATTATTTGAACGATTATTTAGTAGTAATAATTCAGGCCGTATTAAAAAAAAGACGAGTCCGTTTTACAGCGCAATGCACATGACGTCACGACAAGAATCGCCTCATTTTAGCATGTTTTACTTTGATACAGAAATGTTTTTCATAACACTTAAAAAACCCATTTGATGTGGCATCGCGCCTAGTCACCACTATTACTGTTGGGAAAAAGATAATAGTTAGATCGTGGTTAAAATGAAAGGTCTCATCGGCAGTTTGTGCTTTTTAATAATCGATTTATTATCATAATATTTGATTCTGTCATGCATACGAGCATTTTGAGATTACTGGTTCGAAAAACACCTTTAGATTTGGTCGAAAGCAAAATGTAAGTGAAGGTATTGAGTGCTCCTAGTAACTGCGGCAAATAACGCTTATTATATATCGAATTGCCGGAAATTGAAGTTATGGCCTTTTAAGTAATTATAAATATGTTTCTCAAAACCAAATGTGCGACATTTTCTTTTTGTTTCTGCTTTTGCTTTCCTTAGCGAAAGATCTACCGGATTTACGAAATGCATACGTAGGAGTGAATGTCATGTAATGCAAAAAAGTCCGGGCCCGTCCTAACAGAAGCCAACCTGCAAACTCCCTTAAAACTACATATCGGTAAAGCGTCTCGATACTTTGCACTCCCTTTTCAACGATGCAACAGCCAATGAAACTGATAAAGCACTTTTTTCTGCGAAATAGAACGTTTGTGTTCTTATAACTTGAATTTAACATTTTTGTATTATAATTAACGTTTTCTCCTTTATTGCGCCGGTAGGTCGCCATATATGTTTAAAAAATGACGACATCGTGGCAGTCGACGCACGAAAACTTATCGTTACACGATAAGAACAGAGAGTTTGTCTTTAATCGAAAGAGTTATTTTTAACACAGTTACGCAACGCTCGACTCTTCACTGATAGGACACAAGTACCAGACGAACGTATAGCTCGAGTAGATCAGAGTTACTCCCGCGGGTACAATCACGTGATCCAACATAGAGCGACGTCAGCGACTAGCCCATAGTACTTCGTTTCAGCTAAGGTCAAGACGCAGCCGAAGCTACAAGTTCGTAAAACACACCAAGCAGTTTGAAAAGCGCAAGCCATTTAGGCTTTCTGTATATGATTGGTTCAGCAATGATAGAACACGTACAGAAACACAACCTACACCATGATTGTACGATTTTGAAGCTGTCTGATTTGTCCCATTAGATTGTAGAGTCAGCTACATCTGGACTTAAGGTAAAACGAAGTATAGCATGCCATGCTCTAAACGAGCTAGCTCCGGGCTTTCAGCGTTCGTGCCAAATGCACAAGCTCTTTTTTTTTTTCTGGGGGAGGGGGGGGGGGGGGGGGGGGAGCGGCGTGGTTAGATATGTTAGTTCACGAGTAAGCCAGAGATTGGCCCAACTCTTGCATCTTATTTGTTCCGGTATGTCTCGTTCCCGGAGTTACAGGGCCGGAGTTTTCGCGGCGCCTAAAATCGCGATGTTGGGATCGCATCTACATGAACGCTGCGTCATATTTTGTGGTAGACTGCCCCTGCCATAATAAATGGGGCAAGGGGATATTTCTTGTAATGGATCTGCTTCAGTGAAACGTACATAACGCAATTATTTGTTAGGGGGTAGATTTTGGGTAACAATCATGCCGATTCTTGAGTGAAATTTGAATTTGATTGAGAAAATAATTCTTTCAACAAACGGTTAATGTTTTCTTTTTTTTAGACGAAAGGGTTTGTCAAAGCATCTGTATATCATATACGGATGCATCGACAAACCCTTGAGCCTAAAAACGAAAATTGACCGTTTGATGAAACATTTCTTTTCTCAATTAGGTTCCAATTTTACTCAAGAATCGACAGGATTGTTACAATCTTGAAATATCACTAGCTCGCCTGTGTTTCATCTTTGGGAACTATATTTACTAGCATCAACGTGGCCCCAGCACCATAAAACTTGAAATCAAAAAAAAAAAAATGGCAAAAAAAACATCAAGAGAATCTTTATTGCTTTGTACTACTCTGTTACTAACTGCTCTGTTACTGCTTCCAAGGCGCTCAAAAATTGGACACCGTAAAATCTGAGCCCGATGAAAGAATATCTCCGAGGGAGAGCTTGACTGGACAGATAAGAACCAGGCTACTTTGCTCCTGTGAACCTTAGATAACACTGGGGTGGTGGGGAAATCTTTGCCATATAAAGTGGCCCCGACGAGGGATTCGTTTTAGTTAAGTTTGAGCAGCCATCGCTTTGAGTCTTGTTTGATGTCTTGCCGTTCTAGAAGACTGCCTGTACACTGATCTAGGACGAAGAGTTGAGAAGTTCTACGCAAGGTGAGAATTTTGTAATAAGTTCCCACTAAATAATCGTTGGTAGTCAGCTGTCTATTCCCTCCTGTCTCAATTTCTCTATATCTTCCCCTGGTTCAAGCTGTCAAATATATATACAAGTATGTACCAACAAGCTCAACTATCAACCGTTACTCAGATAAAGGAGTACATTAATACTTTGAAAAAAAAACGACTCCAGTTTATTCCAATAATGGAGACATTAGAAACTTAAGTAGAATCTACGTTGAATATTAGCAGCCGTATTCACCAGTCGTGACTAACTAACGCTGTTTTAAAGTTAGTATTGCGTCTAAGTAGTCGTGAACTAAGAGAAAAAATCGGCGACTAAGTATGGACTAGTTCTGCGGTATTCACGAGTGCGAAGCAAGCGGGTGACTATCTAGTCAGAACTAACAAGCGGAAGTGACGTAAAAAGATAGGTCACGCATACGCATACTTAAACGCCACTGCGTACATGGGTATTTTTTGTATAAGAACTAATAATTAAATTTGTATCAGGAAAAATAAAGTTACAATGAGAGGCTAACTGTCCGAGACAGAGTTTCGCAAAGAAATATTTAAAAAAACAACGCAAGGGAGAAACACGAAAGCCGCATTGCCAGCGACATAAACAAATATGGAAGCACCCGTAAATGCGTTTTTTCTCTTCGTCCAACGCCCTGCTGAGATCCCTTTATCGGTACCTTGGACCGCTGAACATGGCTATTTACTCAATATTTGCACCTCCAATTCTTTCTATGTGTGTCCCCCAGCGTTCCGAGACAGTAAGTGCCTGCTTTACCGCAGAGCACATACCCAGCCAATCATCGCGTTGCGCAAAAATAGCATAGCGAATAACTAGATCGATAACACGATTCACCATACAAATGCAATCTTCACAGATAGTATCTTCACGCGAAGACGTTATCTCTGCCTCGTAAACCGCTGGAATCATGCTGCCGATCGCGGTGATTGGCAAGCCGCATGCTCCGCGGAAAAGCGAACCCTCAGGTTTTCCTCATAAACAGTGCGGCTATTACTCGAGTAAATACGGTAGATTTAGCCGGAAAATTTTCTTCTAAATGTGGGCGAACTTTGTGCAAAATTTGGCGGGAAAATTTCACGCGAAATTTTCCCGCCAAGTGTAGTGGGTCGGTGGGGTCATGATGTTACAACCAGACGTGACATCACACGTGGCGGCGCGCATTGCATTATGGGACTTCTTGGTCCCACCGACGCCGACGCCGGATTTTCTGCGACACGAGCTCGTACACGTTATCGCGGTAAAAGCGCTCGCCGCTTCTTGCCTTTGTGTTGCTGACGCCGCCCTCTGAAGGCATCCAGCCTCCTTGAAGAAAAACGGGATGCGCAACGTGCTCTTCTGGGTGCGCTATGCGAGACCGCGGGACGAAAAGAGACATCTACGCCGCTGCTGCGATTGGTCAGCGGCGCAGCGCTGACCAATCACAGCAGACGGCAATGTCCCGGTCCGTTCGTCCCGCCGTCTTGCATAGCCCCCCCCCTTGGTGTCTTGAAACAACTCTCCTCAAGGTGATTTTGTGAATGCTTCGATCATAGCCCCTGCGAGTCCAAGAAACCTATGGCGTATGGCAAAACGATAAGGTCTTCTTCCGAAGACCTTATCGTTTTGCAGTCAGTGCGATCGCTAAAATAGGCAATATGATCGGCGAAGAACGACATCACAGAGCAAGTAGCGTGACTGTAATAAGCCACGCCTTGCGCTTCTTAAGCTGTCAATGCTTATGGTGATTATGAAAGAGAACGATCAAGATTGCTTTTGTGCCAGAACGAGAGGTTGCGGCACTTCCGCGCCTTTTCGGAATTGGGTTTGGGAACGGCGATCCCATTCTCAGCAGTCCACTACAAAATGCGTTTGTCGCATCTTGCCACACTCAGGGGACTTCATGTGAGAGAGAACTGCCTTGGTCCAGTCTAGTTCACTGACGCAGACGATTACTCAAAATAAGAAGAACGGGACCACATCAGCCACTATTTGATGCCGTTCACCCTTGTCAGAACACAACAACTGATGAGCTGACTGTATATCTGTCATATTCAATGTTCCACAGTCCTGCCGCCGCCTGCTCCAGCGGAGCGATAGCTAAATATATGGCAAAAGACATGCGCATCATATGTCATCAACGTAGAGAACGGTACGTCTCTTCTAGCAGCGCTTTTTGCATGTTCGCCTTGTGCGACTACGCAATTAACGTAGCATTTGCGATAATAATAAACACAGGTCACACACGCGTTTTCTGAGATATTTTTGAAATCTTAAACACGAGACGACGGCAATCGCGAAAAAAGTGTTCATAACACCGTGATATGTGCGGACCGGCTTTATAGCCGCTGAAGTACGCAACGTCATATCTCAGCTGTTTCCTTTTTAGTATACAGATATTTATATAGTAAAACTATATATAAACAAAAAGTAAGAAGGATCATATTATACTGATTGCGCTTCACCAAGAAAATGCCACCATTCCTAGTTTTTTTTTGATCATTATCTGAATGTTATACGAATCCTTGTTCGTACAGGACAGACTTCCAGCAGACAGTGAACCCTCCTGAAAGCGAAACAGCAAACACCGGTAAGCCGAAACGAACTTCGAAAAATTGTTTCTTTGTTGTGAATCACTATTTTCTTGTGTGTGAATGGGAGCATCTTTATTAATAGCAGCGTCTTGGAAGCCAACTTTAGAGCCTGATTCGTCCAGGAAGACACACAGCCAACTATGTTCACAGATTATGTCATGTGCTGTGCTAGAACCTTTTTTTTTTATGTTTCGCCGATGATCTTAAATTCGCATTTACCGAGCCACGCGGAGCGTGCTTGTGAGCGTCTGGTGCAGTAAATAATTGCTCCGGTCTCCACCGAAGTTGTTCTTGTTTAGTTATTGAAATGTTGTTCCGACGAACGCCGGGAGATTTTTGTTGTGTCATTACCAGCGTCCTTTGTGTTCGAGCTTTAAGTGAAATTTTCGTTCATTTGCTCTCCTCATACCTCTCAATTGACAGTAGTTTTTATTTTAACATGAAGCGGACTGGAAGGCCTTCGGTGGTGACATAGCGTGACTGACGGAACTGTCATGCAGAAAGGTAGATGCTAATCCTATTGAGAGTTTGGTAAAATGCGCGTTAGTAGGGAGGTTTAGTCAATTGTTTTTGCATTCGGATATTCACCGGTACCTTTGCGTGTGCATCGCATCGTTACCGGCGCTGTTATCGAAGTGAAAACGATGGTCTTCTAAACATTCCTTTCAAGGCACCATGTCAGAATAAATACATTATCCCTTGACACTACATTTTTTGAACGAAACACAATCGCAGTGCTAATACGAACCGTTAAACAGACATCTCGCTTCAAGGGTTGTTCAAATGTTTGTGATCCCGCAGGGCCAGATCACGATGAAGTACCTGGTTACGTTCCTCCCTCTCCTCGTCCTCAGCTCGGCCGGAGACGAAGACAAAGTGACGCTGGCTAACAACCGTTTCTGCTTCGAGCTACTGCAGTCCCTAGAAGGTTTTACCGAAACAAACATCCTTTTTTCACCATACAGCGTTTCCACAGCGATGGGAATGATCTACGTCGGTGCGAGAGGCGAGACGCAACGCGAACTGTTTCAAGGATTGGGCTACTCTGCATCTGGGCTCACGCACGAGCAGGTATTGAGCGCGTATGGTCCACACACATCGAGGCTGCAGTCTCCCCATTCGAACGCGACCTTCAAAGTTGCCAATGCCGTCGCCATCGACGAAAGACTCGCCCTTGAGGAGTCTTACGAAAATACGTTAACCACCTCTTTCAAGGCAGACCTTCACAAGGTCGAATTTTTACACGGTCCACAAGCCACTCTGAACCTCATAAACGACTGGGTCAAAGAGAAGACCGATGGCATGATTATGCGTCTCTTTGACGGCCAGCTGGATCGCTCTTTACGCCTCATGTTGCTCAACGCGATCTACTTCAAGGGATCCTGGAACCGGCCTTTCGACAAGACCCTTACCGAGAAAAGACAGTTTTTCAAATTCGGCGGCGGACTTAGGACCGAAGTGGACACCATGGTAGGGAGGTTTGAAGTTGGGTACCACATGAGTGATCAGCTACGGGTCGCGGTCGCCGACCTGCCGTACGTTGGACACGACTTCAGCATGACCGTCCTGTTGCCCTTGGAAAAATACGGAGTGGAGCAGCTCAGGAGGAACCTCACGCTTGACCTCTTTCAGAGCCTGGTTTCGGAACTGAGAGGACGCGAAGTCGACGTGTTCCTACCCAAGTTAGTACGACTTCCTCAAACTCGAAATGTCAGAACAGAACGCATTGCGCTTTATATTCGAAAGTAAAATTTTTGATAGTAGACATTTTATTTTTATTTATGGGAACTTCTTTCAAACCCGTTGGTGGGCAATATTTCGAGCCGTGTTCGTAGACTTGCAGCGATTGGTTCTTCAAAAGCGTTTTACGGGAAAGTTACTGAATATGAAGCAAGACGCTTGAAGATTGTGCGGAGCGCAAGTTCGTCTGCTCCTTGAACAGGGGTTGCACTAACGTCGAAACGTCGAGCTCGGATTGGCTCTTGTGGAGGGATAGTGGATAACCTCAACGCTAGCTTCCTTGAGGTCTAGCCACTATCCTTCGAATCGTAACCAATCAGAGCTCGGCGTTGTTCTGACGTCACCACAAGCCCTGCTCAAGAAGCAGACGAATTTGCGCTCCGCGTAATCCACGCCCAGCGTTTCTAATGCCGTCGGTAACTGCAGCAGACGAATCTACACTCCGTTAAATCTAACCACCGCCGACACTGCGATCCGTTGGAGTCAGTGAAGTGCTCCATGGTGCGCACCGTCGCGGCGTTGGTAGTTTTTGTGCGCTTACTATCAACGACTAAGTCAGTCGCGCACAGTGGATCCACCGCGATCTCGCGCCATTTTCTGCGCGTAGTTAGTTTAGCTGGCAATGGAAAACTATAAAGTCCCTAGATGCTTCTCTTCAAAAGTAACGACAACTAAGACGAAGGACGAAGCCCTTTCCATAGGAACAAAATGGCGTCCTTTGGTTTACTCTTCTGCTTTGCGCGCCGCCAATTGAGTCTTAAAATCTACACCGTCACGAAATCGGCGCTTCAAAGAATGTCGCTACTTGTAAAAACTTTTAGGGAGTGTGCGCTGTGGCATTACGCAATGCATTGCGTAATGCCACAGCGCAGACTTCATTTTTAGGTCTAAACGGATGTTCCGCCTCATCATTCGCAGAGCTGATTTCGTATATCGCAGAGATTGGCTCTTTGAGTGTTTTGGGGGTAAGTGGACGCGAAGGCAATTCTTAGAGTGTATGAGCTTTATGCAAACTAGAGGAGACAACGAACGTCGTGACGACGCACATCCTGCGCAGCTCGATTAAATTCATGAGATCGTACGCGGAGATCAAGTCGCCTGCTTCTTGCGCTGGAGTTGTGGTGAAGTCAGAGCGACGTCTAGCTCTGAATGGTTTTGATTGAAAGGATGGTGGGTAGACCTCAATGCTATACTTCGTCTCATCCTACGATGGACTAAAGGCCAAAGCCACGGGCCGCCAGGTCGAATCACGTTCAACGCTAAACTACGACACGCTTAGCAATGGTTAGGTTTGGAGGAATAATGCTCCGAATTCAGAAACGCTGCGTCACTTTTATAGCTTCGACACTGCAAAGATCCAGTACATCGTGGCTTTTGTTGCAATGTAAAATTGTTGAGTCCCTCATTGCTCGATCCAAACCACTGTCCGCCCATTCCCATCAGTGATCCTAGACGCTGGCAGCGATACTTGCATCGAAGCGAGGTACCACGCAATGTCTATGTGGCTTGCGATTGGATCTGGCGGTTCGTAGCTTCTGTTTTAGTCCATCGTAGGGTGAGACGAAGTATAGATGCCTCGAGTTCTACCCACTATTTCGTTTTCAATCTCCCAATAAGAGCTCGACGTTTTTACATCGTCGCAACGCCTCCGCAAGAAACATGCGAACTTGCGCTCCTCATAGCGTCGGCATGTGGTCGTATAACTAAAGTGTGATGCCTTGAGCGCGTTTAAAACTAATGTGTTACGGTATTTATCCCGACAAAAAAAAAAAAAAAAAATCTGTCTACTTTTTATAAATGACGTCATAGGAGTTTCACGCTGTCGCCGATAGCGATCCTGGCTGTGTTCCAGCAGCGGTGGTTTATGTGGCAGACGCCTGTTCTGCTGCAGGTCGTTCTCGAGCTTGAGAGTCCACGGTAGCTCCGGCGGTCAGGAGTTGGGACACCGCGATGACAGCGACACCCGCGTTCGATTGTGCCTTTCGCCAGCGTTTCTATGGCGAACCGCCAGGATCGCGATCATCCTACAGCATGACACTCCGGCCTCTGTGACGTCATTTGTTTCCACTTTCAGGACCACTTTTGATGTATAGGAAGCATAGCTAGGACGCTAAACACAGCAGTCGAAGGCGCGTTCCAGGCACTATACCTAAAGTAAAACGGAGAAACGGAGTATAGCATAATAATGCAGGGGTTGTCGAACTATTGTTTAAATTTGTAAATATATAATTTTGATATTATCTGTCTCCTACAATATTTCCCTTGTAAGGGCGTTGTAGGTAATCGTATCAATAAATAAATAAACAAAAGATTTCTTTTATTCTTAAAGGACGCCTGCGTCTCTAGACTGATATAACAACCTTTCTAGGTCTCGCTATTGAAGCAATAAAGCTGCGTAGAAGCCTAGAGACCTTGAAGGCAATAACGCAAAAACTAGAAAGTGGTTGGAACATAGATATACGCATCGATGGACGGTTCTGATATTTAGAAATAATCGTTAAACCGCGAAAATACTTGGAGGCAGGAGTGGTCAAAGACTTTTGGGAGCTCGGGGAAGCTTCGAGGATGTTCTGGAAATCCCCTGCGTTCCTATACAGGTTTTGCAAGTCCGGTCTGAGGGCGTCTCATCTTGCCCAGTTGGGGTTAGCTTGGGAGCGGCCATAATCTGATTACGATGCCTTAGCAAGGCTTTGTAATCGGATTATGACGCGTCCAAGCGCACCCCAACCGAGCAAGATGGAGGCGCCCTGAAGCCAGACTTGGAAACGTGTATAGACCTTTTCCACTTACTCTCGCCCCCGACCGCCAAGTAGGCACATCCGGTATGGGCGACGGCAAAATATTCAAACATTTCAACCTGCAAGTAGTAAAAAAATAGAGGGGAGAGAAAACGAGAGTGGGTGACGGTTACGCTTTTCTCCTAAATGCATTCTATTGGCGTGGCGACGGCAAAATAATGTTTTCGCCCATACTGGAAGTGACGACAATTCAAGATGGCGACGCCCTTGAAGAAAGGGTTTATAGACTTTTTTCCCCTGTACTCTCGTCCCTAGCCACCTGATAAGCATATCCGGTATGGGCGACGAAAAAAGTAATAAAACGTTTCAACGTGCATATAGTAAAAGAAGAAAGGGGAGGCAAAACGAAAATGTGTAACGGTTACGCTAATATCCTAAATGTATTCTATTGGCGTGGCGACGGCAAAACAATGTTTTCGCCCTTACTAGAAGTGACGACAGTTCAAGATGGCGGCGCTCTTGAGGAAAAGGTCTATAGACCTTTTTCGCAATGTTTTTGCCCATACTGGAAGTGACGACAATCAAGATGGCGGCGCCATTGCGAAAAAGGGCGCCGCCATTTGCCGTCGCTACGCTAATAGAAGGCATTTAGGACATAAACGTAGCCGTCACCCATTCTCGTTTTGCCTCCCCTTTATTTTTTTACTATTTGCAGGTTGAAACGTTTTGATATTTTCTCGTCGCCAATACTGGATAGGCCTACTTGGCGGTCGGGAGCGAGAGTAAGCGGAAAAGGTCTATAGGCCGTTCCAACTCAAGGAGGTAGGGCGAGGGTAAGACGGGCTGGGATGAGGAAGCAGACGGAACGCTGGAGAAAAGAGAGGGAAACCTCCTTCTCTTTTCAGCGTTCCGTCTCCCTCCTCCCCGGCCCGTCTTACCCTCGCCCCACCTTCTTGAGTTGCAACGGTCTATAGACCATTCCATTTAGCGCTCTCTGGGCGGCACCATTTTGTTCGACAGCAGCGCCCTCTCTATACATCCGGGAAATTCAGTGGGTTCGGCAAGAGAAAACGAGAGAGAGGGCACGCGCCCGACTCCGCTAGCAGATGACAAACCGGGAGGTTGCCATTCTCCATCTTTGGGCTGTACCGGCGGGCTGTACGGAACATCGAACTCTCGCTCGTGGCTGCCGTTGTGAAGTGGTTCGCGTTCTTAGAATAGTTATGGCTACTCCAAAATGAGCCTATAGCTCACTGTTGTCCTATTTCGGTAAATCGCCAATTAGCATATCTTTTTTTCGTTACTTAAATAGTAGTTGAGTCAGTCGGCACTACTACCCTCAACTACTGCGTGTATTGCGGCAAGAAAAAACGTTTTCATTTATTATTTCAGACTTCCACTCATGGTCGCTAAAGGCCTACACCAGTACGGACTTTGCATAGAAAAAAAGGTACAGCAACCGAATTTATTTTCGGCCGGATGAGACCGGCCAATTGACACAGTTTTCCCTATTATTTTTTTATTTGCACGCAGGTGACAGCGCAATTGGACCCTGTTAGTCTTTTTATCTAGCATAGTATTACACGATAACTGGCATACTAAAACCTGCGCTTCTGCACTTGAAATTTCCAAAATGACGCGATTTTAAACAGAGTTTGCACGCCAGCCGGACGCTAGCTACAGCCCACTCAGCGGAGCAGGCGATATCGGGGTGAGATGGGGAGTGCATTTTTCTCTCTTTTACCCTCTCTGCTATGACCCTAATGGAACGGTCTATAGACCGTTCCACTAGGAAGAGCAGAGAGAGAAAAATAATTCCCTCCCCCTCTCACCCGTGCCTCGCCTGCTCCGCTGAGTGGGCTGTACCTAGCGGCCGGCGGTTGTTCAAACTCGGTTTAAAATCGCATCATTTCGGAAACTTTGAGCGCAGATGCGCGAATTTCGACATGCAAGTTATCATGCAATGCTAGGCTCGATAAAAAGACTAACCGAAGTCAATTGTGCTGCAAGCTGTGTGCAAATAAAGAAAAAAAAAGGGAAAACTGTGTCCGAGTGGCTGATCTCTCCGACGAAAAGTAAATCCAGTTGCTGTAGCCTTTTTACTATACAAAGTTCGTACGGCTGTAGGCCTTTAGCGACAATGAGTGTAAGTCTGGAATAGTACATAAAACCGTGCTCTCCTGACGCAATAGACGCAGCGCTTGAGAGTAGTACTGCCGGCTGACTCCCCTGCTATTGAAGTAACGGAACACAGATACGCTAGTTGATCATTTACTGAAATGAAGCAACAGGATGCTGTAGGTTGATTTTGGAGTAGCCATAAATATTCTAAGAACGCGAAACACTTCAAAACGGCAGTCACGAGCGAGAATTGGATGTTCGGTACAGCTCGCCGGTACAGTTCAAAGATGGAGAACTGCAACCTCCCGGTTTGTCGTCTGGTAGCAGAGTTGGGCGCGTGACCTCTCTCTCGTTTTACCCCGCCGAACCTGCTTAACTTCCGGGATGTCTGGAGAGGGCGCTGCGGCCGAACGAAATGGCGCCGCCCTGAGAGCTCTGAATGTAGTCCGGTCTCAGGGCGCCGCCATCTTGCTCAGTGGGATGGGCTTGGGCGCGGAAATAATCCGATTATGACGTGAGCAAGGCTTCTTAATCGGATTATGACTCCCCCAAGCTCACCCCAGCCAAGCAAGATAGCAGCACCCTGAAGTCGGACTTGCAAACGTGTATAGGAGCCCAGTTCGAGAACCCAGTGCACAACGCGTAAAAGTTACGTAGAAACATATATGTATCTCTTCAACTTCCATCGGTTTGTTATTTGCAGGTTCAAACTGGACACGAAATATGTCATAAACGAGCCCCTGATTAGGCTGGGGATCAGAAAGATCTTTGGCGGCGGTACGGACCTTTCGGGCATCAACGGCGACACGGACTTGGTGGTGAACGTGGTCTTGCAGAAGACGGTCGTGGAGGTCAACGAAGAGGGCAGCGAAGCGGCGGGTGCCACCGGAGCGGGCTTGATGCCCCTCAGCGCCGCCGTGTCCCCGCCGCCCGCCTTCAGAGTCGATCATCCGTTCCTCTTCTTCATCCGCAACACGCGTACCAAGGACATTCTCTTCGCGGGACAGGTCAACAAGCTCTAAGCACATCGGATTACTTCCCATATATGACGATGCAATTCTGAAGATGTATTCCTACTGAACAATAAAATACATTTTGTTTTAGTTTGGTAAATTATGGTGCTTGAATTATACATACAACGTAAATAAATCATAAAAAAAAATCGTTTTTTTTATTCGCATTTGTTTTCTGACCGGTTGACCCCGCCATTTCATCGAAGGAACAAGTAACGGGCTACCTATTGCCAAAAGGTGCTGCTTTTAAACAGACTTGTGCTCGTTACTTGAAAAATGTAACGGATTACAATTACAAATTAGCGAGCCTCAAATGTTATGGGTTACCGTTACAAACCACTTTCGCTGGAAAGTAACGGGTTACTTTACTCGTTACGTTACAAATTACTTTCACGTTATTTTTTCTGCACACTTATTCAGAAAAAAATAGAAACGATTTTTTTTATATATTTTTCAAAAATGTTTTGCAACACTACTTTTCATTTTTCCTACGCCCGTATTATGGAAGTCCTTGTGAAAATAAAATATTGTATTTAAGAGAAAGAGTGTAGTTGCACTCCGTTCACCTTTAAGCTGACAAGGCACCGAAAGCTGCAACCACACCCGCCATCCCGCTAGCTTACGGCCTCCGGAAATGATCCCTGGCATTGTGCAGACAAAGCTAGTGGCGCGCATGCTCAGTAGCAACGTCTATCTCCGCTACGAGATTCGGAGCTAAAGAAGCGATAAACGAAAGCTTCCCTTTGACTCGGGAGCTTCTCCTGTTGTTCACAAGAAGAAAAAAAACTTGGTTCTAACGTCACAATTAATGCAGAATGCAGGTGTCCCAGCTTACCTTGATGTGTTTCCGTAGCTTAGAGTTTGTTGTTCTTGGTGGTGACAATCTCTGTGTTTCTTGGCAAGCAAAGTGTGCACTGAAATTCTAGGTTTCCGTTCGCCTTAATGCTCTCAATTTTGAAGATCTCATTAAGAGATGGCCAGGGAGGTGACGGACACTCCATGACCCAAAAACTCGACCAGTCAGAGAAAAAGTGGCGGTTACGGGTTATCGGTCGATCATCGGTTTTCACTTTCATACCAATGTTCGTGGAAACCAGGGTAGGGCGGGGTATTGAGAGCGAGAGAAGCGGTGGCCATCGGTCTCACAAAACAATTGAGGATCACGCCACTTTTACGCGTTCTTTCTCTCTCTGTCAACACTCCCTAGATGGCCTACCCCCCCCCCCCCCCCCCCCCGCAGACACACACTTTATTTTGACCGTTGACTGTAAAGTGAGGAGTGGACTCGACCACGATGTGCAGACGAGTAAACCAAAAGAAGTATCGTCCGTACCCTCGAAGACGATGCTCACCGGGCGCCTTTCAGTCGTGCCTCAAAAGCGTGCTAGAATAAAGTAGCGCACATCCAAGGCAAAAAGAATTCGACACCCCGCGCGAGGCTACATCGTCTTTTACGCGAGTTGTTAACTTTGAATCGAGGGGGTACGGACCCGCGTTTGATGTCTGTGCTGGTGGCGGGAGACGTCGAAGAAGTTAGAAAGGGTGAAACGGTGTAAAAGATAAAAACAAATAAACACGAAGAGCTTTCCCCTGCCCGGGAGAAGAAGAAAGACACGATGGAAGGCGACGGAGAGCCTACTGGGCGTTATCTTACTTGATCTTTGTCTTTCGTATATTTGCACGTGCCTTGCCCGTTTTTCTTGTATTTCTAAAAACCGAGCATACAAAAAAAGAAGTGTTTTCTTTCTGGCTATTTTTTCTTTTTTGATGTTTTCTATTTGGTTGAACTCGCTTTCTTTTTGCTGATGAATGTGCTGCTCGTATTGCTCCAGTTACTGTATTATGCCCATGTTTTTTTTTAAAGTAACGAGTAATTAAAGCAATCCGTTACCAATATTTTGTAACGAAATTAGATTACAAATCACTTTTGACAAAAAGTTTCAATAAGGGTGGCGATGTGGGTTAGTTGGTTCATACTGACGACAAGGCAAACAGCGCATAGTAAACGGGGACTAAAGGAAGTGTAAACAGGACAAGCGCTGACTCTGAACTGAAATTTAATCACACGAAAACAAAACAAAGAAAACAGCAACTACGCCCACGTCACATGATACATTCACCACGTGTCCAAAGAAAACATCTCTTTACTACTCAAGCCCAGTGGCGTTTGGCTTACGCAGTTTGCGCCTACTTTTATAATTGCATGCGCCTCTAAAACTTCTCGATTCACTCTGTCCCTTCCATTGGCAATGATACCCGTCTTACTGAAGATAGGTTCACACCTACATCCATGACAATGCAGTGGCAGATGCCCCCCTACAGCTCCCACCACTGATCGCAACGACAAGTCATGCTCCCGCAGTCTGTGATCAACACATCGTCCCGTCTGACCGACGTAGGCTTTCCCACACGCTAGTGGAATCGTGTAAACAACTCCCACCTTGCAAACAACATATTGATTCTCATGCATCACCGAGCAAGCGGGGCCTTTGTCCTTCTTATCAGCAACTCTCGCGCATAGTTTCGCCAGCTTTGTGACATTTTTTTAGCCAAGTGCGATAGGCCATTTCGGAAAAACTGGACGACGAGCGCGTTTGTAAAGTGTTTCATTACGTGGATGACTTTTTGGTTTTGTTTATTAGGTTGGAGGGCATATGTGAGGCAGATGTCATGAGGTCTGTTTTAGAAGTTTTCGCACATCATTCGGAGGGGCTCACTTTCACTCACGAACTTCAGGATGGGGCTTACCTACAGCTTTCGGATTTGAGATTAGAATTCATTGCTTAACACGCTTGCTGGTCTTATCACCCACGCTCAAAGAAGGGTCTTCTTCCGTATGATTCATCGCACTCTAAGCTGGTCAAGAGAAGCATTGCCTCGTCTTGCCTACAAGCTGCACTCGAGAAGTCATTTCATCATGTGGTTAACGATAGTTTTTCCCGGCAGGTTGAGAGACTGACAGTGGCAGGTTTCCCAACTTCGGTTTTATTGTGCGTTGCGAAGGGTTTGTTAAAGAAACTCAAAGGGGAACCCCGTCTTCGGAGGGAAATGCCAAATAAGAGACCGCTCGTAATACCGTCTCTCCATAAACTTTCACACAACTTGAAAAAAGTTGCCTTGAGGTACGATGTGCCATTGGTGTTTTCCGCTCCGTGTAAGCTGGCGCAACTATGCGCGAGAGTTGCCGATAAGAAGTACAAAGGCCCCGCTTGCTCGGTGAAGCATGAGAATCAATATGTTGTTTGCAAGGTGGGAGTTGTTTATACGATTCCACTAACGTGTGGGAAAGCCTACGTCGGTCAGACGGGCCGATGTGTTAATCACAGAATGCGGGAGCATGACTTGTCGCTGCGATTAGTGGTGGGAGCTGTAGGGGGGCAACTGCCACCGCATTGTCATGGATGTGGGTGTGAACCTATCTTCAGTAAGACGGGTATCATTGGCAATGGAAGGGACAGAGCGAATCGAGAAGTTTTAGAGGCGCATGCAATTATCAAAGCAAGCGCGAACTGCATAAGCCAAACGTCATTGGGCTTGAGTAGTAAAGAGATGGTTTTTTTAAACACGTGGTGAATGCATCATGTGACGTGGGCGGAGTTGCTGTTTTCTTTGTTTTGTTTTCGTGTGATTAAATTTCAGTTGAGAGTCAGCACTTGTCCTGTTTGCACTTCCTTTAGTCCCCGTTTACTGTGCGCTGTTTGCCTTTTCGTCATTCACAAGTTTCATGGCAATTACAAAATTACTTGAAAAAGTTACGAATTACAAGTAATCCGTTACTTCTAACGGATTACTTTCCAAGTCTCCTTTTAAACCCCTATCAGACGGGCGCACTAAATACCTCCATAACAATCTCTTTAAAGAATCGGCTCGCAATCTCGGACCTATCGGCGTTCGCATGATTCGCCGATCCTTTAATTGAGTTCATTATGAAGGCCTTTAATGGGCCTATTTGGAAGGGGTATAAGTGGCGCTTGTCAGAGGTTGAACACAGAGGAGCCGCAAATCGGGAAGGCAGCAAGAAAAAAAAAAGAAGCTGGAAACAATAATTAGCTTGAGACCTTACGCGTCATTGGGTAACCAATATCGTGGTAAAATGATAAAACGCAGCAGATATTGGTCAGCCGGTTATTCCCCGGCTCGTAACCACTGCACAGTCTCCTGGAAGCTAGTGCAATGCTTTGATACGTTCATTTGGAATATTGTAATGTGATCCAGGCGGAAACGTTGATTATTGGCCAACCAAACAATATCCGTAAAAAAATCAATCCTTTTTGTACAGGCCGTGCTTGTTTGCAAGAAACACTCGAGAGAAACAAACGCTCTATGAAATTGAGGCGGGGATTGTAATTGAAGTACAATTTGTGTTACTGAAATTGTGCTCCAAATAAACGCTAACCAAGCTCAATCTAGAAACAAAAATGAACCGGTCATTATTTCAGTTTTGTTCGGGTTCAGTAGATATGCATTTTATTCCGGTTCGGTTACCGGCTCCACCAAGCACGAGCCGGTTCAAACCGGTTCGTAAAAATAAAAAAAGTAAAGTCGCCAGGCTGCAGAAAATAAGAGCAAAAAAATTTGGTTTTGTTTTGTGATGTTGACTTTTTATAGCGAACACTATTCAATGAAGATTACATGGTTACACAGGTGCTCACAAACCGTACCAAAGTACTGGACCAGACTGCTGGAAACAGCGTCTTAGCTGAGATTGGCGGAAAGAAAGCACTGCCAAAGCCAGAGCACGAGCGCAGCGGGACTCTTGCCGCGTATCGAGACTTTCGCGCGCCCCAGACTTTGCAATGCTTTCTTCCACCCAGTCTTAATTACATGAAACGCTGTTCTAGCAAGCCGGCCCATTACTTACGTATGGGGTGAATGAGCCCGCACTCACAGTGACAGCGTGGCGGTATCACGCACGGTATCTCGCAAACTATCCACTCCGTAGGCCTGAACACCTTGCTCGAGCAATTGACTTGATGAGAAAGACAGCAAAGGGCGGCCGAAAAGTATTTAAAACAAAAATTATGAAACAAAAGCGACATGCTACTTTTGAAAAAAAAAAAAAAAAAGAAAACCGCATGCACAAAATGTGTCTTCAAGCGG